GTTTAAATTTCTAATGTGATAGATACATACAGGTATTTTGTGTTATTTAATTTACTGTTACAAATTTGCTTTTCAGCATGGAATTACACAAGCAAATGAACTTGTCAACCTGACTGAGTTCTTTGTGAATCACATCCTGCCTGATTTAAAATCAGCTAATGGTGAGTTGTGAAATTTTTTCTTTTATTCAACTTATGACACTATGACTGTAATTTTTATTTACATTGTTATACTATGAAATAAGTAATGTGTCAAGTCATACTAAGGACTCTACATCACCATGATACTCAAAAAACTGGTTCCTATCCTTGTTACAGTTGTTTCTTTTATTTAATAAAATCTCAAATGGTTTCCCCAGATCTTGTCTATGTGAAGTTAGCTTTGATAAAGAAAATATTGCTTGTTTAAAAGGAAAATATGAGTAAAACTGAACTGTAACTCAGCTTTGTTATCCTAGCGTATGAATAGGAATTATACTTTGGCTTCCTTTTCTTTCCTATTTAAAAAATTAGTTCTTAAAAATTGAACATTTCCAAGTACTTGAAACTGATAAATATTAAGGATAGTTTCCGATGTTTTGTGAGCATGTTGATCTAGTTCCGATATATTCCCTTTTTTAAAAGAAACTTTTTGTATTGGAAATTTATATACACCCAGAGGTATAGAGAATATTGCAATGCGCTTCCATGTGACCATCATCCAGCTTCAAGAATTAACAGTTAGCCAGTGTTCTGTCCCTTTCACTAATTTATTTGCCCTCCACTAGAGTAATTAAAAGCATAGAGAGACATGTTTTTAATTTAGAACAGCTTCACTTCTAGAAGTGTAGATGATGTGATCATTGCTACATGATCCAAATCATTTTTATTCAGTTATTTGAGTAATACATGTTCATTTATCATGAAACTTAAAGACAAGGGAAAAAATAAAATTATTTATGATCCTGCTGGAATGAATAGCTACATAGTATATCATTGCATAATTAACTAGGCTTCCATTACTTGACATTTTGGTTATCATTTTTTAAAACTCTGATAATATCATTAATTTGGAGTAATAGTCCTTACCCTGTAAGTAACTATGACTTTTTGTTTTTTAATAGTGAATGAATTTCCTGTCCTTAAAGCTGATGGTATCAAATATATTATGATTTTTAGGAATCAAGTAAGTGGGTTTTTACTTATTGTATGCCACTTAATCTCTTGTTTTATTTATTTTTT